TCAACCAAAGGAATTGTATGCATGTATATAAGCCAACCAGTGGACATGGGCAACAGGGGGATGAAAGCATGAGTGGGGGGAGGAGGATGAGGGTTTAATGGGGAAGCAGAGAACACATTTGTAATACCTTAACTAATAAAGAATTTAAAAAATTAAAATTAAAAAAAGACCAAGGGCTAAAGTCAAAGAGATAATCTTATAAGCATCTAGAGCAGTGGTTCTCAGCTATCCTTTCAATAGTTTAAAAATATTCAATAGTCTAACCTGTAAAAAGGAAATCAAATTCATTATTATACACTGCCAACACTAACACAACACAGTGTTCCTCATCACTGCTACCACCAATATCAAGCCCCCCACCCCCAAATCCAAACACAAATTAAACATCAGCTTCTTTTCTTTCCTTGCCAGTATGAAAAAGTGTTAAGGAAAAAATTCCCTTTCAGTCTTCACCTTGTCTTTATTCTAAGTGTCTGGCTCAGTATGGAATGAATTGTCTCCTGCCCCAATTGAAGAATTCTACGTTCCTCCCTTCTCACATGCTTGGCCCCTCCTTTGATTCCTTCCCATCATCTGAAAACATGGAAAAATTCAAGCACATTTCCTTTATACCCTTGCTGGTATTTATTCAAGGAGACCATTAAAGTTTTCATCTCCTCATAATGCCCATTTCTGAAGCATTTTTTATAGAGGGATACACATCATTAAGGGTCTTCTTTTGGGAGACCCTGGGCATCACTTGTGGTAGATGGACTCTCCAGCACTTCTTCTGCTGCATATGTTGGCTTGCTGACTGGATGCTTTCCCCTTCTTGTAGTAGAATACAATTATCTGATTCTTTCTGTCTTTCTCCTTCTTGTCTTCATTCAGCTTATGGACCAAATTTACCATCGCCATTATCTTGGTTATGTAGTTTGGAAAAAGTTAAACCCAGAAAGACATTGGTTTTGGGGAAGAAATTGGAAAATGATTAGGAAAAGGGCTTGTAATTGAATGACAATGGATTGAATGAGGAAGTGTCTGTGGCCAAAAAGTACAAGGCCAGAATTTTAGGTGAGGAATTATTACCTCTGGTTGCCCAAATTCCGTGGTTGCCATGGAGTTGCTTGACATCACAAAGCCTCAGCTTGACCACACAGGAGGGGCGGGGGTGAAAAAGGAAGCTTGACCACATTGGGGGTTGGGGGGAGGATGTAGAAGTCTCAGATGCTCTGGTTATAGAAAAGAGACCTTCCTCTTACCTCCTAAAATTTTTCCCAGAACTCTCTCTTTCTCTTTCTCATTTCCTCTATTTCCATTACAGTCCAGAATATGGCAGGGAGGTGTTGTTTCCTCTAAGCCACTTCCCATACTCCCTCATCATTTCAGTGGTCCATTCTACTATGTTCAGATATTACCAGTTCCTAGTATTTTGAGTGTTTTTTTTAAATGGATGGTTTATTTTAGAATAGTTTCAGATTTACAGAAAAATTTTGAAGATAATACCCATTATGCCATACCCAATTTCCCTTATTACTAATATCTTACTTTGGTATAGGGCAACTGTTACATGAAGTGAATCATCAGTGAAACTGTAAGAGTGAAACCTCACTTCTCTGATATTACTGAAATTTGGTACCTATTTGCTTTGTTTAACAATGGACAGGTTATTTTGATTTTCTGAATTATATAAATCATCCCATTGGTTAAATGCCTTATTGATTGTAATGTGAAGATCCAGTGGGTTTTGGTTATACTAGTCTTAGAAAGCACATTTTCCTTTACCTGGGAAGGACAGCACTGTAGCATTGTTATCCCAAGATCAGAGGGCTGGACCCAAAACTGTAATTTAGATAACATGCCTAAGTTTAACCAAGGTTACCCAAGGGCTCTAGATAGTGTGTTTCTGGAAACTGCTTTTTTGCAAACTAGGTTCCTCATTCCAGACCAGAGGGCTCTAGATAATGTTTTTGACCCCCAGACCCAAAACTATAATTATCATGCTTAATTCTGCTTCTGTAATCTGCTTTTTTGAGCGAGGTTCCTCATTCCAACCCTTGGGATGTAATCAATACCTTTGTGAACTTTGCCTATATAAGTCTGATGTTAAGGCCATCTTACTTCTATGAGATTTGGGAATGACCCCTCATAGTCCCAGATTGCAATAAATGTGACTCTTTAATTCAACTTCTTGAAGCGTCCTTCTGTGATTCGCGGGGTATGTTACAACATTTGGAGGCCCCAGCGAGATGCAGACCCTTAGGGGTTCTGTTTCGGACGCAAAGGGAGGCAAAACCTCCCCTGAGCCATTTGTGAAGACTGAGGGGTCTCTAGGGGGTGCACACCCTGAGAAGTTCTAGGGCCACAGAGAACTCCCTTTGGATCCAGCAAACAGGCAAGGGACGTTGGCCCGTCCCTAAAAAATTCATCGGAGTCACCTGAAAAACCTCTAGCGGTAAGTTCTGGGACCAGTCACTGGTGGTGGACTTAAAAGAGGGCTGGATGCAGCGGAACTTCGGAGTCCGACACCCGACACCACGGCATCTGGGGGTCCTGGTCTGGGCAACCTTAGGTTGCATTTGTCTGGTTTGTTTTGTCTTTGCTAGCCTTTTTGGTTTTGGATTTAGATTTGTTTGTGAGCTTTTTTTGGTTTTGGTTATTGCTTGTGAGTCCATTATATATTTGTGAGTCCAATGTGTTCAGTCTGTCGATTTTGTTGTTTCGCTGAAATCCTCCTGGAGGACATTGAATGGTTCTTTCCTTCCTCTTTAACTTTTGGGGGTTTGTGTGAATGGATTACTGATGTAGGTTATAAGGATCTCTAAGGGACTTGTCCTGTATCTGGAGGAATGGCTTCTAGACAGTATTCACTGTCTCTGGGACTTCCGGAGGGAAGTCAAAACTTGGACTGGCAAAGGGTTTGAGTCTGGCCTGTCTTTTAAAAAAGGTAGTAGAGAAGCGTTCCTAGACAGTTTTCTACTGCCTCTGTTCAGGGACTTGTTCTGTATCTCGGCACAATTGAAACTGATTTGTTGGTATTTTGTGGTGTAAATATGGCCTGTGCCTGTGTAAAAGTGTTTTTGTTTGTTTCTGTTTTGTTTTGTTTCCTTTGAAAAACA